GCTGTTGAAAACCCGTATTCCCAGAGAAGTCGGGGAAGCCAATTGAAACGTTTGAACTCCGATTTGTTCGGCGCGGTTTTTTTCATCGTTATTTTTCAACTTTATAAGTCGAATTTGCATTTTTTGACGATTTGTTTCGGTAAAGTCCATGCAGAAAGGTATCAGAATCTTTGCAAAGTTGTGTTTTACGTTGCATGTGACTGGCTGGCTGTACCCATGATAATGTGGGTTATTGTGCCCACATAAAAGACATCATTAGGTATTGACGATAGTTTTATCAATTCATGTAATCGAATTATGATTTTTAAATAAAAGGCATATCAGCATCAACATATATGTGCATGTCAACATATGTTTGCCGAGATTACATTTACTTGTGAATATTATCAAAAATAATAATTTATATACATGTACCTATACTTATCAGAGACCAAGCACCATATTATCTTACAACACATGTTTGTCAGTGCACAGATAAGACTTATTAGAAAGCCACTTAACATCATCATTTTTTCCTTTGCACCTTGCTCTTGGCATACAGGAAGCCACCTTAGAAGGGTGATCGGAAAAAGTCATGGGAAAAAGTCATGTGAAAATAGCCATTAGAAAACATCCTGTTCTCCAGTTATATGCTTTTATACTGAATTTTGTAAATACTATTTCACTTTCATCTTCAAACTGTCTTAAGTACTCAAAACATCCTGTTCTCCAGTTATTTGCAAAAAACTAATTCAACAACCATTATAAAACGTCCTATTCTCCAGTTTTTAATAATTGCATGATCTTGGAGTGTTTCTTTATGAACATGATGTAACTGGCCTCGAACATGTAAATAAGAATAGCATGGTGAGCTTTATGCACAGTGTGTGAAGTTAGATATCTGTGGTAGAGCTTCATATTTTATTAGTTCGGTAAACATCCTACTATTGAAAATTGGTATTTATCTAATGAAAAGTGATTATTCACCGCTTATCTCTAAAGTTGCCAAATTTATCAAAACTGGACTCTTGTTCAATGTTATAATGTGTATCCAGTATGCTTGTATGTTCTCTGTAAATACTATAATATGTGATTTTTTAAGAATACATTTTCGGTTCCTATTCCTGTACAGTAAAAGGATAAGTAATATGTTTTGAGAGGGGCACAGGAGATAGGAGTATGTTGTTACTATACGTGCCAATGTAGTGACTCGGGCCAGCTCATTATTGATTAAATAGGAATTGGACAACGTAGCCTGCCAGCTTTCACTAGTGTACTCATTGAGTCTGTCTTATAGGAGGTCTGTCTTTTGGGAGTGAACCATCAACTACACAGCAACACTCACTCTACTCACTCTTAACCCCACCAATTTGAGTTACCTGTTCCACCACCCCCGTCCCCGCTGTTTACATTATCCTTATCTTCTTACAATCATACAACAGCTGGAAGGGTAAGATTGTAAATCCAGCTAGGGTCCATGCAGGTGTTATGCAAATGTACCCGTAGTTCCCATGGTCCTTAGTATGGTGGATCTACCTTCAGTTGTTGGCGATCTATAGCCTGTTTTTATATTGCATTGTCCACACACTAGTTTTAATTCCAATTGTGATATTCTAGTTGTTTTTACTCGTCCTTTGATAGACAGGTTTTTATAATATACATATATTCTATTTCAATATCAAAATATGTTCTCGGACGCGATATGCCAAACGATAATATTGCCAAAATTAACTGACCGTTAAAATAGTAGCTCACTTACTCATTGTCATCCTATCATTTGGTCTCTCGTACACTCCTGCTTAAACCCTGTTTGTTTATTTTAGAGGCCCCGTTTTTATTAATTTCCAATATATACTCTACTGGATATACAAATGCCGCCAGCCCACCTATGCCTATACCTATATCTTTATATCACCCCTCCCCACCCCCACCCCCTTACGCCCCGCTTTACAGTAACTTTCCATTCAGTTATCACTCTTTCTCCTCATTACCTAATAATAAACAATCGAATTTTTTCCTCCCTTTCCCTTCATAATCTCGGCCTTTTACTTTTATTTCCGACCGCCTCCGTGGTGTAGTGGTTAGAGCGTACGCCCGGAGTGCGGAAGGTCCTGGGAGTTCGATCCCCGACCGCGTCATACCAAAAGACGTTAAAATATGGTACCTGTGAGGTCCCTGCCTGGCGCTCGGCAGTTAATGAGTACAACAAGGACTGGTCGGCTCGAGTCAAATTATAATGTGTCTGGAGTGGGATATTCATGCTTCACTGCGGCATGGTATCTCAGTGGGCTAGCACTATAAAACCAGCTTCAGTCTGGGCTAGTAATAAGCTGCCGCACATACACATACACACGCATGCAGATCGTCATATGAGCGAGATATTCTCAAAGCACGACGTTAAACCCAATTCCCACCAGCACCTTTTTATTTCCCATCTTATGTTCTTTTTAAACGTTTTATTCCAAAATTCACTTAAGTTAGTTAAGCCCCCTCATTTACATTTCTGGGGGTATGGTGGTTGTTCCTTATAACTGGCCTTATTAATGGTTATGGTGAAGACCACCTGGGGTTGGCGAAATTGGCCTGGCCGGAAGCCGCCGACGTAAACCATCCAAATCGGCATCGTCGTGAATTCCTCATATGCTTGAAAAGGTATAAGCATCTATGCTGAAACGTCACCGTTGCCAAAGATAAAGTTGATCTCATCCATAAAAGTCTTGTCATCTCTTAGGCACTGTGCTTACATTCACTTCACGGGATAGTATTTTAGTCTAACGTTCACCAAGAGACCTTTAGTTTACATTTAGTTGTTTATTTGGGATGTTTCCCATTTAAGCCCACCACGGCCGTGATGTTGCTGGAATATTGCTAAAGCGAAAACCAAGCTCCAGTCAGTCCAGTCATTTCGCCTGCATCCCATTTCGCCTACAGTGGTGAGGATGTGAAGCTCATCCACCCCTCATTCAGTGAAATGGGATGGCCAACATTTCTGCTCGAGAAGTGTCGTCAAAAGAATGTGTGTGAAATCCACGATGCCTCGGATGAAACAGCCAATGGATGCAGGACCTAACACTCCATCCATCCAGCGATTCAATGACTACGTCACGGCCAGCTGGGTGGGACTCACGACGCACGCAGTTCTTAAGAGATATGGAACCAACATGAAACTAATGGCCCGAGAACTAACGACCACTTGGAAGGCTTCCATCTGGGACCTAAGAAGAGGTTGAAGAAGTCCCATCCTAACCTCTATGAATTTATTAAGGAAATCAAGAAGATTAGAGTCAGCTGGACCGACGACGGCGCGTTGCAGATAGACCATGGTGCTGGAGTCCGCTCACGTCCTCCGCAAAGTACAAGGAACTGGACGCTTCTGGGGACCAGTTAGTAACTGGAAGAAAGACAGTGCTGCAGTTTCTGGACGCAGCTGGACGATAATTAAACTGCAAATACATTAGATTTGTTGAGAACAATGATATAAACTTGATATTATCTTCATTGACTTGATATATTTGTTGACATGTGATCTGATATGAAGTCCAGTATGTTCAGGTTTATGATTACATGTATGTTATTTGATATATACTTGAGAATTTGTTTTGATAGGGGTGTGGGTGGAAGTAGAGACAGAAGCGGTTTGTTTCTATATTTGTCAGTCTCATTAAGTAGTTTATTATAGTAGCCATTTTACACATCATTTACATGTTTTGTCTTTAAAATCACTCACCTATGACCCTTTGCAGCATGACCTTTACCCATCATCCATCTGATTAAATAATTGTGTTTTAATAGGTTTCTTTTTTATTTGCTCAGTCACTCATCAACTTCAGAGAAATGCAGGGCAGTAAAAGGAAGCCCAGTGGCTAAAGTTCATTTCGTCACGCCGAAGAGCCAGGGTTCGATTACCCACATGGATACAATGTGGCGAAACCCATTTTGGTGTTCCCTTGCCGTGGATATTGCTGGAATATTACTTCAAAACGACATAAACCAAACTCACTCACTCTAAAAATATGCCTATCAAGAAATATATATCTATTCGTAACAATGGAAATAAAAGTATATTTGTTTTACATTTATAGCAGAGAACGTCCAGGGGCAGTTTGATGTATCACAGATTTCAAGGACACCTTCTTGGAGATGATACCCTGTCTGTGCTCGAACACTTCAACCAGACAAGTCAACGTCCCGACTTCTTAATTCCTGTCTCCACGCCTTCTGTACAACTTGTCTGCAGACTCTGCTCACAACAGAGGGACGAAACCAGATCACTTGTCCCATTGTGTCGACAAGGTCAGACCACCGTGAAAGGAAAATGTCGATACATTACCAGGTGTTGGTCCGGGATAAACCAATGAATATCTACATGATGAAGAAAAGAAAAATCTTTTACACCGGATTATCCAGATGGAAATGAAGCTGAGGTCTGGATGTCGAAGAATGCTCTTCTGGCCTCTCTGTGCCCGCGTACCTTGCAGTTCGGCTCACAAAGCGCCACGGCTGGACAAAGAGACCGTAGGAACAATCACCTTTGGATGAATTATTCCAGAGATCCCCAGGCAAACTTTAAAAGAAGAAGTCATTTCTGCTAATAGCCACCCAGCTCATCAAATTGAGTCTACTGCAACACTGATGGGCAGCTCTGCTGTGTTTCGTGTTGCATTCTTGATCACAAAGACCACGAGATGAAGAAACTTGAAAATGCGGCAGATGCTAAAAGAGCGAAGATAGAAAACAAATTCGGCTTATTTCAAAGACGTCAGAGTTAACACAAGAAGCACTACAAGAAGGCTTAATTTACGAGAAATTGATTATCACCAACAGCACAGAAGAGAGTGAAGCTGAAATGAACACCCTATACAACAGCTTGAAGGATGCAGTAGAATATGACCCGAAACGACAAGCTAGCAAAATTTAAAGAGAAGAGCGGTGAGGCATTGGCGACAGGTACAAAATGCAACCAAAAGCTCATGGAGCAAACCATGGCTAAGATTGGAAGAAACACAGGGATATGTAAAAACTTAAGGAGACGGCAGATGCTGTAGAGATGCTACAGATGTACCCTTCTATAATGAGCAGTATGGACGGGATCACAGCTGTTCCAAGATATCGAAATATGTATTCCACAAATCTCAGATTTGAAGCAGATGGTGAAGTTTTGAAAACGAGTCTTTTAGAATTTGCAAAACAATGCAACATCTGCTGGTATGTATCTACATGCAAAATTGACAATCATCATGTCCATCCGTCTTTATACTTCCTTTTCTATTTAATGAATCTCTTCAGATTACTTTTTAATTTTCAGTATTTCCCTCGATTACATTAGAATAGGAGCGAATCTCAGTCCTGTAGTATTAGAGTAAGTGTTGTGGGGGTGAAATAGCAGAATATCCGCCATTTTGTGTCTGGCGTCATCGAACACCTGGTTGACCTTATTTCACAGGGGGCAATGACTGCGCACCCTCGTAAGAAACGGCGTGACATCATAGTATGACACCATGACATCACGCCATTATTTTGGACCAATCATCAATAGAGCAACTATCGAACTCACTTGACCACTGACCACAAACTAGTTTCATCTGGTTTCAATTGTAACTAGAAAAACCCCTCTGACAATGAGTTTAGGTTATCACTAACCACCTTTTCTGTCGCATTTGGAGAAAAATCAAATATATCTCAAAGCGTAGCCGTTAAGGCATGGTGAATTACACTCGCAGCCTCCACACTTCCATCCTCGATAATCTCCAGGGGTATATCGCCACAATCACTCTCCACTATACCCCTGATGCATCCACGGCTTGGCCCGATGATTTTATTACCACACTTTGCTGGCTTTTATCCAATCAGGTGTCTACGCTGGGAAGTTGAGCGAACCAATTACGATTACCAATTATATTTTTTAAAGTTTCAGATCTGTCAATTTGTCTGTATGATTTTCCCCAATAATATGGGAGTGGCACTGCGAACAAACCTTTTGACGACTGTTTTTGACCGCTATCTTTATTGACACTGGCAAGCTTGGATGTAACGGCGGCTTAGCTGATTGGCTACTGTGAGAAATGTGGAGCCAGCAAAGGGAGGTAATATAATTATCGGACCAAACCGTGGATGCATCCAGGGTATAGTGGAGAGTGATCGTAACGTATACCCTGAGATTATGGAGGATGCCACACCTCCTCGTCTCACTCAGCCAAGGTGTAATATGATATCCTCAGGTTGTACTCATAATCGTTGGTCTAACATTGAGTCTGTCTCACGGTCCCTGAACCATATTATTTTACCTACAGCCTAGCCCTCTCCTGCAGTGCTAAGGCTCTAAATGAAGTCTAGTTTTCCCCCTGGTCTGTCTTTGGCTCCTTTTCAATTTAAATATGTTTGTTTGTTACTAACAAAATAATACATTCAGATTAAATTATACGGGTTCAGTTGACAGGTTTTATAACACATTTGTTAAATGCGATATAGATCAGCGTTCATTGCCACATGAAAGTTGTTTGAATTTGTCTTGACCATCACAAAAACAACCCAACTAAATAGAATTTCAAACGTATTTCCAACTTCCCGCTATGCCATCGTCACATTCTATATTTGAACATCCTATCCAATCCATATTGTCATTGTATCCCGCCTTGTAATGCGATTAAAATAGAAATCAGGGATGATATTGAGATGTTATACCAAAATCCCATATCTTTGTGATTGTATTGATTGAATCAACCACCAAAAACCATGAGACTAATATTGCACCTTCCATGTAAATACACTCACACTTCAACGAGTCTCGCCTCGTACTGAAATAACTCAGCCCCGAGAGTATGCCATTAATACTGGTGATCTACATTTCATGGCATCTGTGTTGAGGAGAGGCGACACAGTGTTAATATTTTTATAAAGGTTTTTTTCCCTGCAGAATTAGTCTGTCTCACAGTCCCATTATTGTCCCTACTGCCTAGCCACATTATTTCCCCTACTGCCAAGCCCTGTCTGCAATGAAAATGCCCTAAATGAAGCAAGTCTAGATTTCCTCAGATTCTGAATCTCTTCGTAGCCAGCATGAACATCGCTTTCGGGAGAGTGGTTAAGTAAAATAACCTATGTTAATATCATGGAATTATTATATATAATGAACGTTTCACACCAATTAGCACATACCTGTACATAATGATAAGATAATGCTTTATTTATTTTAAACAAAAATCCTACATAAATAAACATTATGCTCGAGACTTGCCGTTGATGGGGGGAGTATCGTGTTTTGACTTTGACTGAAAATGGAGGTGATGCATTCATCATGGAGAGCAAATAAGAGATAATTGGAAGCGAGTTCAAACCTCGTGTAGAAAAACGTTTATAATTCAAATTCCTATTATTTATATGATTTCATTGGTTTACTAGGAGTTATTTCACCTGCTCAGTGTATATGATGTATTTGAACATTCACCAAATGAAACATTTCAACTTGACATAAATAATAGTTTACTTGCAGATATTAAAGGGTGTACAGGGTTTAATTGTCTTTCACTGCATAACACTATTGTATACGTAGTGTCAGGGCATGAAGGTACATTAACATGTACCTAAGAGTCAATGAACCCCAGTAAGGTGGCATAGCTTTGGTTGTTGGTGGTTCATAGCCCATGTTTTAATGTTAATATGTGTTATATCGGGTTGCATTTTTAGAATTGGAAATGATTAGGGTTTTTTTTAATTCTGTGATACGTTGCTAATGTTTTATTGTCCTTCGTGACAGATATTTATCATATTTGTTCTCGTCACTATATGGCTGAAATATTGCCAGTGTGACGTTAAATTTTAACTCACTCACTCAATCACTATTGTCAATCATAATGCATGAGCTTTAACAGAATTGCAAATACATAAACTGTACAATAACAACTCATTCACATTAATTCTTGGTGTGTATTGTATAAATTACAGCACAAATGTATAGACATTCTGCCACACACAAACAAGAAAGATTCATTGTTTATTAGCTCCGTTTCAATGAGAAGGCTTTAGGATAGGATCACTCCCAAAAGTCTACTTTACATGTTGTGCGAATTACAATGTCTTATTGTCCTTCTTCATCGTACTGTCCAGAACCTTCACTCTCTACATCACATGTCATGTCTTAATCATCATCTTCAGTCAAGCCTTCCACCCAAGATTTATATTTGTACAGATTGGAAAACACGTCATGATACATATTATATGTGTCTTGTACTTGTTTCAGTATTCCTTGTGTCTTTGGACCCCACTGCATATGGTACAGATAAGTAATAATTCGGGCATACGTCTCTTTAAATGTGCTCCAGATTCTGGGCTTCTTCAGTTTGACTTGTATCATGTCTTCGTTTAAACCTCTTTTCAGTTGTCTTATACCTTGCTCTTCCTGATCAGCCATCTCATTTTCCCTGTTGTTTTGTGTGACATCGCTTAACGATACAACAGCATCATCATCATCATCATCATCATCATCATCATCATCATCATCATCATCATCATCATCATCATCATTTTTTAATTTCAGGACATTGTTTATCGTGTGAATGTCTTTGTAGGTTATGGTTATTGCTAAACACTTGACCACAATAGTCACAGTCCACCAGAGGACGTGGTCTCTTCACAGCAGAGAAGTTGTCGTCTTCCTCCCACTTCCTTTTAAGTCCCATTTGGGGTATTCCAGGTGGACCCACTGAGGACTTTTCGGGACACCAGTTTCTTCTGTGTTTTTGCAAATCATGCACGTCTTGAAAAAATGAGTCCACAGTCATCACAAGATGGCATTGTTGGGAGGTTTTCTTCACACGTCTGCTCACGCTGAAAGTCTAACTCGGACTGAATTGTCCTAGCTTGGATGGTCGTGCTTGTGGTGGTGGTGATGGCTGCATTGCTCGTCTGTGTTGATTCCTGAGATGTGTAAGCATAGCATCCATTCTGGAAAAGGTGAGATTGCACACGGAACACGTTGTTGACTGCATGGTGGTCCGAGTCTAAATGGCAGCGAACCTGTCAACTGGCTGCTTTTATCTAAAAAGTCATCTTCTGTTTCTCTGTGCGACTCTGGGAGGAAGTAATTATTTTGGCTTCAGTTCCCCCATTCTCCTGCATCTGAATACGTGCTTTGGCCTGTTGAACGACCTGTGTTGTTGGAGAAGTGAGTGCAAAAGTCTCTTTAGAATTGGGTAGGTCCACCTTTACCCCTTGTTTCTCATAAAAGATCACATAATCATCAACTTTAGAAAAGGGATTGGGATATCCTTTAGCCTGCAAATAGTAATATTTGGTCCATTTCATAGGGTTGTCCAGATAGGGTGTCCAGTATCTCCTGTTCATTTTCTTGTTCAGAATGAATACTGACTCTCACACAGAGGTTTCAGATGAAATGTCACTATCACTGGTCCACGGCTAAATGAAGCTAAATGACCGTTTCTGTCCTTTATATAGATATCCACAGTCTGTACATTTTTTCAGTTTGATGGGTACATAGACATCTCTTAAGGAGGAGGACCACATTAACTATAAGTGGCACATAATGAAGACACATATCTATACACTAGCATATCGTTTAACCTTGGGTTGAAAGTAAAACGCTTGAGAATATCATTCAGTGAATGTCCTCTGGCTTTTATCATCACATAAAACAAAACATACAGTCCACAAGTTTTACTGTTTTTACTTTGTAGTATCTGTGTATTGTGTTGGAATGAAGCACCATTCCTTTGTAGAAATGTGTGGAATGTCCTTTGATAATACTCAGGCTTTCTTCCCAAACTGTCAACACATTATGTGTGTTTTGAATCTTGCATCCAAATAGCTATTCAGTGTTGTCCAGGTTGATAAGAGGCTTGATTATTCAAAATGTATCCTTTGGGATGTGTGGATATGGTCTGTGGTAACTGATTGGCAGCAAGCACTTTGATTTCCATCCCATTAGTAACACTGTCTTTGTTCAAGAGGCATTGTAGTTGTCATGTATTCATGGTGTTGCTAATGTTACGTGCTTCGTTCACTTTATAATCAACTGATCCTCACTGTAAATACCTTCCGGAAGCGCTGACTTAAAATGTAACTCCAAATGAAGGTTGCCTTGTTTTAAGGTATTCAAACAGTTCCCTTCTATGCGTTTGGGTTCCAGCGTAAATTGATAAATAGCATATCCCTTATTGAAATCGTTTCTTTTACTGGGGAAGTGTTCCCACGGTCAGGTCAGTATAAGGTCATTGATCCCTGTGAAATGAGGTCAGCCAGGTGTTCGATGACGTCAGAAAAATGGCGGATATTCTGCTATTTCACCCCTACAACAAGTAAGTTGGATACTAATGGATCCGGTATTTCTTCACATATATGTTTTAGGAGTGTGGGGAGGTGGGGCGTTGGGATTGACAATTAGTATAAATGTACGTATTTGAGATCCCAATGAAGGCTAGGTTAATGCCAAAAGCTGGGTAAAACGATGTATACCCACTCATCATTCTACACATACAGGAAACGTGCAATAGAGTGAAAATATTTTGTTTACATCTGTATTTCAGTTAACACAACCCCCATGAAGAATTTTCTGACAAGCTTCAGGATGGTAATGTATATCCATATAAACGCGAATTCTCCAAAACTCATTTATCAAAACTGTTGCTTGCACGTTAACATAGTGTTACTGTTCATATATGTAGATACATTTCTATATTTTTCATCGTGTTTATAGCCCCAATTGTCAAGAGCAGCAGCAGTCAATTAGAAAACCCACGCCCACGCTAACCTTAAAGTGTCAGCACTGACCTTTCTTCTCTTGTACATTCCTTGGTCAAGTGCAGATAAGCATTCCCTTCCCAGCAGGTCCATGTTTTACCAGCGACCAAGCCGTGAATAAAAATCAACTTTGTTGAACAACATTGAGAATACCATTTTACCACTCCCTTTCTGTTGTAAATGCCATGGTCAAGCGCTGATATATATTTTGCTACCAGCAAGCGCAAGTTGACCGCGGCTAGATTATGTTTATTTACATTTGTTTGTATTACTCAAGAATACAGTTTGACAAGGTGTCCACTGCTGTACAATATTCTAGGTTAGTCTTCATGGATGTGGCTAGTTGGCCCTTCAGTCTGGTCAGACTCTGAACAGTCTCAGTGTACGTCCTCTTGCGGGATGCTGGACGGGCGCCGTGTAATATCTAGGCTAAATTGTTGGGCTCCGTCTTCTCCAACTCCTGCAGAACCTCCACAAGTCAAACTATAGTTTGGCATGAAATGCATGTGGACCCGTTTTTTTTGTAAATATCTCTTCATCCAATGACCCAATCGATCTCAAACTGTGCAAGTGGATGTTTTGTCAGACAACCTAATAACATTGTAAATCACCGATTTTATGCATTGGTATTAAAGAATCTGTCTATGTAACTGTCAACAAAATAAACAGCAGAACGCAGACTGCTTGCAGAGGTCTGCTATGCACGTGACAGGTATGAAGAGGTGTTCATTTCTAGCAAATAGTCGGCGAATGAAATCTCTGATGACCCTGATGTCAAAAGAATCTAACTTTGGATGCCTACCTTTTTTGTACAAGATTTTGTTTATTGGTTGTTGGTGTATTTTTCACAATTTTTAGCACGATGTTCTTTTTCATGCCAAGAGCAAAAGTTGTACGTTTCATGTAATCCGACACCTTATAAATCGGTTTGCTACGTTTGCTCTCTTTTTAAAAAAAATTCAACACATTTCTTATTAAACGTTCAGCATCATCTGAATATGCTTTCATGATGACAGCTAGAAGTAGTCAATGTCAATGATCGAAACGGTCCATCACTGTGCAGTGCACAGGTAACTATCATGAACTGCACGTGCATTTACCTTTATGACCCAACACTGCCGCTGTTACAGGTCATTGGCTCCCTCCCTCTGCAAGCAGTCTGCGGTCTGCTGTTTATTTTGTTGACAGTTACATAGACAGTTTCTTAAATACAAATGCATAAAATCAGTGATTTACAATGTGATTAGGTTGTCTGACAAAACACCCACTTGCACAGTTTGAGATCGATTGGGTCATTGGATGCAGAGATATTTACAAAAAAAAACCGGGTCCACATGCATTTCATGCCAAACTATATGTTGGGGTGTGCTCTCCGCACGACCTTGTTTAGATGGGAATACCATCCTTCCAGGTGATTATTCGTGCCAGGGCCAGAAAGAAAATGTTGGAGTTAAGTTTAAAACATTTCTACAATATTGTAATACTACTGTTAATGCTAGTTCTATATGACTGATTAATTTTTATTAAGCACTATCCAGCGATGTTTCGTGTGTATTGCGACGCGGGTTCCTCATTTTTAGATGTCTTTATGTTCAAACGAATATTGAAGTACGAGTATTCACATGTATGTTTATATCCCCTGCCTATATCCTGTTTTATTCCTTTAGCAAGCTAGATCAGTATATTCTCGCAATGAATGTATCTGTAGGTCAGTTATTCCATATTTAACGATTGTCCGACGACCATATATTTTACGAGTAGATGCACTTCCAATATGCGCTCACGGAATAGCAACACCAGCCAATTATTCTGTAGTTAGCATCATAAGGTGTTCGCTATATACTGTACAGAACAGCTTATGACGAACTGCATTACCGTAGCCATTTCAAAAAGTTATTGTATTCTTTCATGTTGGCCGAAAATATGCATTCAAACCCGCATGGTTTAAGTATCACACCGTAGGAGCGGGTGAACGGCAGGAAATATTCATAGCATGGAAGTGAATGATTTATCACTCACGCGAGAGGTGAGCAGGTTGTATTTTTAGGTGTAGGAAAATTGTCAATATCTATATTTGTATAGGTCACATTGTCCCCTAACTTCATGCTGTAGAAAGAAGACACATGTGCGTAATCCCACCAAATATCTTTCCATTCCGTCATGATACAAGCCAATGAACCTGCAAAACAATGTGTAGCTTCGACTACCTTTCCGTAAAGATGCATAAACCTATCAAAGTTTAGGGTACCATTGCTGTATAAACGAAAAACAAAATACTCCCAACATTTAGAGTGATTATCGAACTATCTTTGTGCCAAATTTGAATGCTTAGTGTTGTACTGTTTTCGAGCTTACATACTCGAAAGACAGATACCATCAAACAGTTAGTGAACGATTTAAGAAAATCGTGGTGAACGATTTCATTTTCAGGTGGTGAACGATTTACGGTCAGCCTAAACTCGTCATCCAATTTGCTGTACAGCATTACCACGAACTATCAAGTATTCAATGCTTCATATGTGCTGTTTAAACGATGGAAATGTCACCATATCAGTGCTACTACTGTTCTGAACATTTTCAAGACTTAAGTGGGGTTATATATCACTGTAATGACATTCACACGGAGAAGACAATTATTATTTTAAAAATATGTTTAGGTGACATTACAGGTAAACTCAAATAAGTGCAAAAAGATTTAAAATATGTGCCAAATGAAACTGATAAAGAAATTGTTGTCTCTAAGGAACCTGAAGATACACTTTTCAAAAAAGAAACGCATAGCCATTTTTAGAAGAATTCATGGTGTTAGTTTAAGATCAATTATTTCATGTAATATGAATGGTAAAAAAGGTGAAAATTCACATGTCTATATATAGACAAAGATTTCGCTAACACAACAGCAGCCTTTCTTGTTTCTGTTTACTAGAGTCTAGAGGTGGCGTCAAAGTCAGTACTTTGTTTGGCCTCCATTGGCAGCCATTACTACTCAGCACCGTCTCTGCACAGACTGGATAAGTCGACGCAGTCACTCTTGCGGAATTTTCCCCCACTCTTCCTGCAATGCGATGGCCAGGTGTGGATGTGTCTGAGGCGTGTCTTGACGTTGACGTACCCGTCGATCGAGTTCATCCCATAGGTGCTCTATCGGGTTTAGATCTGGTGTTCGGGAAGGCCATGGCAAGACATTGACGTTAGAATTGGCAAGGTAGCGGACCGTGAGGGGTGCTCTATGTGAAGTAGCGTTGTCATGCTGGAACAACTCCCTCTGTCGGAAGCATGTGACGTGCAACGACGTCGTTGATGTACCGACTTGCTGTCAGATTCCCCCTGAACCACCACTAAATCAGATCTTTATGTGCTGGATATCTTACCCCACACTGTGACACTGTCTCCACCGAAAATGTCGACCTGTCGAATGCAATTAGGGGCAAAACATTCATTTCTCAGACAGTAAACACGCTGTCTTCCATCTCGCCAGTGAAGAAGAAATCGCGATTCATCACTGACCCAGACTCGACTCCAGTTTCTAAGGTTCCAGTTCAGGACTCTACGACATCGCCGCAAGCGACTGCGCCTGTGGAAGTATCTAATAAAACTAGGGCGGTGTATTTGCAAATAAATTCGATTGCAATATACATGTATTGTGATTCTGGTACCCGTATTCAGATACGTATTGCGATGTATTGGGAGCCTAAGTGTTTGACATTGTGTGACACTGTTTGTACATGCAGAGCCTATTTTCTACACGCCAAAGTCATAAAAATAAACATAATGTTATGATAACAGAAATTTCGAATTTCGATTTGATTTTGAAGGATTGTATTTTCTTTTGTATAAAATGTATTGTATGTAAAGTATGATGTTTTGTCAATCAATTACAGTTGAAAACGTCAGCGTGAATGAAATTGAACCATAAAGATAACAAAAACAAAACCCATGGCAATACGTATCGTTTTAAAGGCGTATTGCGATATACTGGTAATACCGTGCAGTACGTCCTACTCAAAACAGGGGCGACAACTTGCCTTCTTGGTCGAATTCCCACTTCACGCAATCGATTCATGACAGCGTGGTCGGAAATCCTTCTCCAACCATGGATGCGTTGTGCAGTCTCCACGGCTGTGACAACACGATGACGCAAATGAGCAACCTGGATGTAGCGGTCCTGGGCTTGGGTGGTAAGTCTTGGACCGTTGGAATTGGTCTGCAGGAAACGATCCCAAAGGTGAGATAGGGTGCTCTGATGAACGTTGAAATGTCGGGCAACTGCGGACTGCGACTCCCCAGCTTCAAGGCGGCCAATGACGATGTTTCGATTGGCGGCACTCAGTCGTGGCATGATGATTTCCTCTTTTTCCAGGCAAAAAAGAATGACAAAATTAAACGCAAGGTTTACCTTTTTATAATGCTCGATGTCACATGGTTTGCCGCTTACTTGCACATGCATTTTGCTTTGCATGTTTTCTTGGTGACGCGTTAGCGAATATTTCTAAACATTTCTAAAGCAAGGGGACAAGTTAAAATTGCCGCGATTTGGCGCTGAAGCACAAACATGACGTTCAGGAAGAAATAGTATATTTGTATTGTTTTTTCCGCAGCTCCATGAGTCCACTATTCTCAAAATCACCTATGAAGAAGAGTGTAGATGATGAACTGATAAACGAAACCGCACTTTCACGCCACTGCTTTTGATAGGTGCAGATGTGCTCACAGGGGGGTTGAGTATGTGTCTCGTTTAATGAGCCGTCCAAGGTGATGCCACACACTTCTAGTATCACCATCTGCAAATATTTTGCGACTGATATGATCATGTTGAAACAATAGTTAAGAATACAAACCACTGCCACTTTTACTCAGTTATAGAAGTTGACGGAGAGAATCCGTACGTAAGAAATATAATTACTATGTACTACAAAAAATGGTGAAAAAGAATTATCAAGTTGATTCAGCTTTACGTGACTGAAATACAGATGTCTCTATATGGTTTCTCTGCGAATACACTACTCTGGGGCAGTACAGCACACCTTGTCACTGGAATCTTTATTGAACAACCACCACAAAGCGTTCACTGTGTAAATTAGAGTTTGGTCATGACATCGTTCACCATGATGTTCTTAAATCGTCCAGTAACTGTTTGATGGTGTCTGTCTTTCGAGTGTGAAAGCTCGAAAACAGTACAACACTTAGCATTCAAATTTGGCACAAAGATAGTTCGATAATTACTCTAAATGTTGGCGTATTTTGTTTTTCGTTTATACAGCAATGGTACCCTAAACTTTGATAGGTTTATGCATTTTTACGGAAACGTAGTCGAGCTAGACATTGTTTTCAGGCTCATGGGCTTGTATCATGACGGAATGGAAAGATAGTATGTGGGATTACGCACATGTGTCTTCTTTTCTTCTTCTTCATGGCGTTTGGGGACAATGTGACCTAAACAAATATAGATATTGACAACTTTCCTACACCTTAAAATACAACCTGCTCACCTCTCCGTTCACCGCTCCTATGGTGTGACTATGCAATTACATTTTTCGATACGTTTTTATTTAGTTCAGAAGAAATACGATTAGTCAGTGACAAACAGCGCAGTCCTAATACATTACCATACTTCTATAACTAAGTTATTACGTTGCATTGGAGTTACAGTACGTATGATTTGTTACAGTATAGAATTATGGTACCGTCTCTTTTCTATGTTATTTTATTCAACTCCCTATGTATCGGATTTGCACGTTCCGAATAGCAACTTCCCTGTCGAAACATCTTTATTCGGATCTCCTACCATATTTATGGTGTAAAAATAATGACTGAAATTACAGATGTGAACGCGTACCGTATTTCTCGGAGTTAAATGTCTAAGCACACCATGCAGTTTACCGTATATTCTCAAGGCATGTGCTGTCATTACACAAGTTTACTTTTATACTAGTCATAAAGCCTTACCGTAGTTAACTTAACAGACACGACATACCGAAGTTGAATTGTTAAGGGCTCCTTTTTGTCTTAAATCCTTATCGTAGTTACCTTATACTTGGCATAGCATATCGTAATGAATTGCTCAGTGCTCTTGTCCAATGCAGTTGTTATTATTGATCATGCAATTTATCAATACCGTTGTTACTCAAGTAAACGTTGCATCAGTTGAATATCCCCAAAATATACTGGCGAATCTGGCCAGTATTTATCATAATAGAATAGCTATAGTAATACAGTAATAGTAACAAACAGGACAACAATGATGAATAATATAAAGCGTAAAAAGTGTTTTTTCCCTCATTTGTGTCATACATTTCTTTCTGTTTTCAAGGCTCAATAATTGTTTAGTACATGGATTTGTGCCAGTGCGTTGACACGTTCTCTTTTTTTATATTTTTCAGTGGCTGGATGGAACAGGGGCGAGACCTAGACACAATTATTACCTATAGATTGAAATAAATCAGTATGATGAAGCAAAACATGAATATGTCTCGAGGAATGGATGTTCTTAGTCTTCGGTCGATTTAGGAGATGTGACCGGAGCCTTCGTATATACACGAGACTATGTTCCACGGTTTCTGGCACTTGACTCCACATTTTCATAAATATTGCCTAATAAACTACCCATTTTGTTTCTCACAAAATTTGAAAGAAACAATGACCACGTTGTATTTCTGAGAGATGCATTATGCAGTGTTAGAATACTTATACATCTATTTTATATAAAGCACAGGTATTTTTTCCGTTTGTATAGTTTCATTTATTTATGTCTCTTTATCTTTGGTCATCGGACAAACTTTATGTCAATATGTCGATGGACTGTATTTCTGTTCTTCCCTGCTCCAACAGAATGACTATCAGAAATGCCCACCCTTTGTTGATAGTTTTCTGTTTCATGTTTGATTACTAGATGGTAACTGTTTAGGATACAACCAGCTTTATAATGCAGCGAATGAAAACAATAAAAATATTGATAATAATGTTTTCTTCATCGTTTCAGGATAAATGATACTCTTACATTTGTGTAGACAGCTCGATGTTTGTATTTGGGGTTTTAACATTAGCAAAGTGAATGGTATATATGATTCATAACAGAAATATATTTTGCAATTGTATTATCAGTGTATGAAATAAGGCCCGTCCAACCGCCCAAGACGGGCTAGATTCTGACTGAAGGTCTAAATTTACAGCTAGCCATCCCGATGGTCTGGTAAAAAATGTAAGGTAACATGTTCCATACATCTGAGTAAATTCACCATATCAAAAAAATCTTTTTTCAAATTCAGAGTTACATTTAAACTTGACAGTTAGTTTGAGTATTGACCTGTCGTATCGCAAGCTCAAAGCACTGCGTTGACATATATTATCACTAAAACGGCGACTAAACAGTAACTGATAATTGACTTATTTTCTTTGGATTGTCTGGTCTGGTTAAATCCATATTGGACTGGTAACAATTTGAAGTTACTAGGCCTGATGTCTGGCTAGGTTTGTGGCTTATTTCATACACTGGTATTTTATAATTTACGTATATAGTCCGCTTTTTACGTGTAATGGAAAGGGTTTCATAAATTGGACAACCTTTATTTTTGCGTGTACAATTTTCAGCTATTTATCATCCACATCATTTTGTGGTTATATGTCAATACTGTCAAATGGTAATTTTGATTTTAATTTATAAAATTCATCAATTGTTAAAGATGCTTTCCCTTTTACTTGTTAACTTGTTAATTTGTAATGAGTTGCATTTATTCATTTTCTCTTTTTATCGCCCGCCACGCGAAGCGGGGGATATAGTGTTAGGCTCCGTCCGTCCGTCCGTCCGTACGTCCGCACGTACGAATTTGAATTACTTAAGAACCGTTGTCTGGATTCTTTTCATATTTGGTACCTAGCTTCATCACAGTAAAAAGAAAGGCCCAAGTCAGGTTTGGTGACCTTGGCCTTCATTTCAAGGTCACAAGGGGACTTTAACGTTTTACCCTTGTCAGCGAGATATCTCAAGAACCACCGTTCACTGGATTTTCTTCATATTCAACACCAAACTTTATCTAGGGAAGGCGCATGTTTCACCTAATTTTCAAGGTCATGGCGACATTGAAGATTTCAGCATGTTAAGCTTGTCAGCGAGATACCTCAAGAACCATTCACTGTATTTTCTTCATATTCGACATCAAGCTTCATTGAGGGAAGGTGCAAGTCCCAGTCGATTGGTGACCTTCACATAATTGTCCAGGTCACGGCGAAACTTTGAAGATTTTCAGCATTTTAAACTGCATGTTAAGATTGTCAGCGAGATATCTCAAGAACAGTTCGCTGGATTTTCTTCATAGACTTTCAAGACTTCCTTGAATGTTTTTCAATATGCAATTTCTTTAATACTATTTTTGCATATTTCATACACTAAGACATTCATTTCAAGGTCAGAGTGACTCTTGAAAATACTTGTGTTTGAACAACTACAGAGCAAGATATCAAGAGAGGTTGACTGGTCATGTTTGTGTTGACATTTAACTTCATCTTAAATTACGACCTTCACTTTCATTACTTTTTAAGTTTGATTTGATAATTTGCAGCGGGGGGATTATGTCACCTTAGTGACAATGCTTGTCTTTGGTAAATTCGTTTATGCTATATTATTAGCAGCCAAAGCAGGGGAATTAACAGTTTACATCGCCAATAGGGCGGGACATTTGGACGTGTAGGGAATTGAACGGGAAGGCTTAGATGTTCACCAATGATAAAGATAACTTTAATGGTTATTTGTGTGCCATGAGTGACTTGGTTGGTTTATTGTTTTACGCCGCACTCAGCAATATTCCAGCTATATGGCGGCTGTCTGTACATAATCGTGTCTGGACCAGACAATCCAGTGTTCAACAACATGAGCATCGATCTGCGTAATTGGGATACGATGACATCTGTCAACCAAGTCAGCAAGCCTGATGACCCAATCCAATTAGTGGCCTCTTACAACAAGCATGGGCTATTGAAGACCAATTCTAACACGGATCTTCACGGGTTCGTGTTTCAAGAACCAGTGGTAGACCGCTAAATATGTAGCACTACATGGATTAGTTTGAAATCTTCATCATCAAACATATAGTGCTTGTTTATGTAAACTTGGCACTCACAAGGGACCTGTTATCAAGCAGTCGATCCTTTGGCGTTGTCTTTGGTGGCATTTGGGTCTTAGTGATCGTTTTGGAATGGGTTTCTAATACAAGCGACAAAACTTGTTCAGTGATCATAAGAAATTTTGAATACGATGTTGGTTGAACGGTATGAATCATTATTATATGACGGGTAGATTTCCGCCCTTCTCATTGGCCCACTTGGTCACATGACAGCTTTGACGCTAAGCAATGTCAACCTCGCCACGTCGCGAGAGGTTGATATAATAATCCAAGCACCTCCCGTGGCTAAAACTAGATTTGGGATATTCCAGCTGTGAACTCCGCACTGTATGCGTCACGCTAGATAGGGGGAAGCTATACATATGTGACAGAAGAATAGGTATTTAGTACTTTTGTAATATAATAAAACAATTATTGACTTCAGTTCGGTTGATCCAATGATTTATCGACCTTAGACAAGTGATATTCACCTCGGCTTCGCCTCAGTGAATATCACATGTCCAAGGTCGATAAATCATTGGATCAACTCACTAGAAGTCAATAATTGTATAGTGTCAAATAGTGATGACACCGGGTGTTCACTTATGTGTAGACATTACATGCTTGTATTGTAATCCATGCAATTCTATAGCGGTTAAGGCTTGGTATCTGTCTATACTGTTTTATGTCTGCGAAATTATGTTAAACGTAACAGCTATAGTATCAACTGACAAAGCTTTTAAACTCTATTTTTGGTCACTGAAATATGCATTGTTTAAATTTTATGCTTTTCAATAATAAATACCACAAATGCGGAATATTATCTTTGTTCTTCTTCATATTTATAAAGGAGTTTATATTTTCTTTGACATGTCTTCAGGTTGTAAAATGCGGGATTTACATGCAAGAATCCAGTTAATATATCTATGATGATAAAACGATTTGAGACAACAGGTCGGACTGATTGTTTACTTGTTCGCAATATTGACGGTGGTCTGTAAATAATAGAGTCTATCAAGAAAAATAGTGATTGATATCATGAGCATCGATCTACAATTTATAAGCTTTAAAAATATTTTTACAAATTTAAATCACGATGACTCCCTGAACTTACATGTACGGTTGTATTGGGTAGTACATCCATACTACAGCAATGTAACGTTGTATTGTATACTGCAGACATACACGGGTTTCCGATAAATGGGACAAAACCGTTTTACACTCGCAAGGATTGTTCACTGAAGTGTCAGTTGAACGGTATAAATCAGGTATGAAATAGTGATGACACCGGGTATTCACTTATGTGTAGACATTACATACTTGTATTATAATCCATGAAATTCTATAGTGTTCGACGCTAAGTTTTGTTTAACGTAACAGTTATACTATCAGCTGACAAAGTTTTATAACTCTATTCATTGTTGTGGCTGATATATGCATTATTTAAATTCTACGCGTTTCAGAAATAAAGAACACCAATCCGGTATATATACTTTGTTGTATTTTAGATTTGTTTTCTTCTTTGATATGTCTTCACATTGCATAATGTGGGGTTTACCCATAAAACCTAATCAAGTTAACTTTTGCTATGATGAAATGATTCGAGACAACTGATAACAGTGATTCTTTATCATGCTTTCTATTTTTGACTTCACTCTGTAAATAATTGATTCTGAACAAAATGATCCAGTGATTGATATTATGAACATCGATCTAAATCTACAAGCTTTAAAAACATTGTCACAAACTTAAATCATGATACCACCCTGATTCTTAATCCTATTAATGATTCTCAATATATTGTCAGTTTTAAAACCGAATAGAAAGCGATCATCCATGTCCGTGTAGGTTTGTATATCATACTACGGCTATGTAACGTTGTAGTGTAAACTACAGCCTAGTGTTATTTTGTATACTACATCCAAGTAGTGTTATTTTGTATACTACATCCAAGTAGTGTTATTTTGTATACTACATCCATGTAGTATTTTGTACTACATCCATGTAGTTAGAGTTTTTTGTATACTACATCCAAGTAGTGTTATTTTGTATACTACATCCATGTAGTGTTATTTTGTATACTACATCCATGTAGTGTTATTTTGTATACTACATCCATGTAGTGTTATTTTGTATACTACATCCATGTAGTGTTATTTTGTATACTACATTCAAGTAGTGTTATTTTGTATACTACATCCAAGTAGTGTTGTTATGTATACTGCAGAATGTAAGGGAAGATGCCCCTACCTATGCCTTTGTTAGTCTGAGGGCGACACATTTCACACGTGGAATTGGGAGCATTTCAAGATGATCCAGTTCTATGTAAGGGAGGTAATTGCGTCATGGTAAAACAGTATTTGAATTAAGACGGATAATGTTCGTTTTGTTTCCAGCATACATGCGTGGACTAAACATGTTGCGCATATGAGTCTTGGATTGATCACTGTTGTCCAGAGACTAAACAAAATCACAGCAGTTGAAACACCTCAGATCTGTTAAATAATCCTACCTTGTGAAAGGAATATGATGCGAATTTGCTTCGGTAGCTGAATGAAAATATCAAAACTAAATGCCGTGGAAAACGTGGTAGCTGTTCTACTACGCACCTGTTTACATGTCGTCATGGAAACAACGTATGAATGGCCTTGAAGCTATTGAACCATCGTCCATATTCATCAGATTTAGCGCCATCAGTGTTCCATATCTTTCCACACATGAATAACGAACTGACTGGCAAGCTGCATTCAAATGATGTATATAAGATTTGTTTACTAAACCGCGAGAATTGTTCTCTTCAATACTAATGACATCCACAATACAACATTTGCAGGTCCTGGAGTGTATGGCTCTTGGAATGGGTTTTGTTGAAATGCAAAAGTGTGTGCGTCCGTGTCTGTGTGTCTCTTATGATCCCTGGGTGCCTATCCGTGTCTGTGTGTCTCTCATGATCTCTGGGTGCCTGTCCATGTCAGTGTGTCCCTCATGATCTCTGGGTGCCTGTCCGAGGCACACAGACATGGACAGGCACCCAGAGATCATGAGAGA